TGGGTGAATGATCAACTATGTATGGTCGTTTGACCGCAGTGGATCCATCAATACTACATTTGTGTTACTTCAACGCATCAAAGGCCATGGATGTAAGTGTTTATTCTATTGACAAACTTACTTTTCTTTCTGTTATTTTCTTACGTGTGTATGATTTAGTGTTAACAAATTTTATTTAAATATTGTGTGTGTGTATATGATTAAGCCGTGGTAGCTCAGATAGTTAGCGCAATTAAACAAAATGTTGTAGTTGGGAAATCGAACAAAATTTATGATTAATTTAAAATTTTATTTTCAAGCAATAACCAGTTGTAAGAATCCCACACTTCGTCACAAGTACAATGTAAAATTTTGTGATTATTTTTTGCAAATATATGATTATTACACATAATGTTTGTTTAAATTTATGACATTTACCAAATCATTGTATTTTGGACATTTGTATTCTTCAATATTAAAAATTCTATCATTCGTCGTCAACATTTTTAAAAATTATTTTTCTGTTGAACCACCTTGGTATGCGATCACTTCGTTCGTATATTTACAGGGAACACATTGTACAACGATATTTTAGTGGATGAGATGTTTCGCTCCTATTTTATAGATAATAAGTAAGTATGACGTAAATAAAAATTGTAACAAAATTAGGTAATGTATTTTATTGACGGTTCAGATTACGGTTGCAGTCAAGAACAAAAGAGTAAAATATAATAGCACTGATAATCTGACGCACGAATAGATAATGACGGTATTCAGTGAACAATAGATAAGAACAATGGAGCGCTAATGACGGTGGAGGCCCTCACCGGATATCAATTAGATAAGAGTTAATTGATCTGCACATCTCCGGAACCGTGCACCCTACGCAAAAATGGACCGCAGATTCGTGATCAGAGCATGCCAAAACCTTTTTTATTTTGTGAGTCGACGTACGTTGTACTTGTACCACTTCTGACTCAGTGAGCCAGAACTGGTACTAACTAACTACTATATCCGCTACCTCATTTCATCGCGTCGGTTGTGCTTGTAGTAAGAGGCGATAGAGGGAACCGGAACATGAGAAAGGCAGCAGCGTCTTCTCGACGACGACCAGGAGCAAGAAAGCTGCAGCTGCCACGTGATACAACCATGAGGTATGGGGCGATCCACAGGGAAAACCTATTTGTACAAGTATACTTTACATAGACTGTATCGAAAGAATAAAAATGGCTTATACGTTTTAGTTTAATAGTGATGAATAATAAATGATTATGGTTATCGAATGAGTTACTCAAAGTTTTAATGACAAACACTACAAGACATTAAATAGATTTGAGCTAAGTCGAATGAGAATCACCTCATGACTTACAATACGCCGCATGTAAGCAACGGACCGCAGTACGAGTACTGCGCGCGCTGCGATCTGCCGCTACCGGATATATTAATAGAATTTCCTTTAAGCACTACAGCGTCTTATTAGTTGCGACACTTAACTCTAATTTGACTTAGAAATAACTATTTTCGTCCGATCATGTTATTGCGATAAATGAAACGCCTGCTGGCCCAGGGACCAGGGACGCGTAGATAATGTTTTATCTAGAAATATTTATTTTTATTTTTAACTATAAGCGTATAGAACTATAGAAGACACAATTTTATTGAATTAAAATATAATTTTTATTTATTTATATGGTCAAATCAAATTAGGTTGATATTAAACATGAACTCTCGATTTGAATGTAATTTTAAGCAGTTCATATAAGCATTCAAATATCTATTTATTTGCTCACTCTTAATATAATATATTACAAGTGGTACTATCACCTAGTAACTTAACCTTTTACAAGCGTTGCAAAAAACATTTACTATGTTTAATTTAACTAATTAACGTTTTTTAAATATTATAATTAAAATATATTAAACAAGGATATAACACAACATAAAGCTATTTATGCATCTTTTTTACTGTTAATTAGCATTAAATTATACCACATTAATGACAATCTGGTGGGAGAGTGGCCAACTATTTGTTAGCGGCGCTACAGGCCCGGGATTCGAACACCGTATGGAAAAACCTTTGTACGAACTATAAATAATTTTTACGTCATAGATGATAAGGTAAAAAAGGTCACCACGATAAAAAATATTTCTACTGCGGAGGCAACTTTTTTATTTCTTCTTCATTTTATACCCGAAACAATTATTTGTAGCCCATACAAATACTTGTTCTATACGGGATTCGAACAAGCGGCTCTGCGCTACAATACGCAACAAATTATTGTTAGCTACTGCGTCTTGGAGCCAAAAAAGCTTCATTTTTAATACTTTTACATATTTTATCATATTTTTCATTTTTTATTATTGATGCTATACACGATCCAGTTTACAGTCAAGTTGCAACGCGCTTGAAGTGGCTTATACGTTGCTCTCCGTTAAGAGCTGTGGTAGCTCGTGGTTGCACTTTTTAAGTGCTGATTTACTACGTGCTAGGCGTTGAAGGAGACATCGTAGGGAAATCTGCATGTCTGAGCAATTACAAAAATATTTCGAAGGCATGAATAGTCCGCCAACACGCATTGCGACGGACATTTCCTTGTCTTAAGTTTTGTCTCGAAAATTTGGTGGTTTTTCTATTTAAAATATTTTTTTAAGTATTATAGATTACACCACCACCATTACCAAAATTTTGGTTTATGATTTTTGACTATATGACCTTGGATTGTATAAAAGAAAACACGATATCATGAAATTTTCTCGATAGAAAAAAATTGCAAAGTAGACTCTAATTAGTTACATTTTTCGATGACACCACAATATTCTTACGAATAAGTTCACGGAATTATTTTTAAGACATAGTAAATAATCATATCTAAGTTCGCATGTAAACCAGTTTTTTAATCCATAACGAAGTTTTGTTAAAATAAATAAAAATGTTGTTTCGCGCTTACTTAGTTTTTTTCCGAGCGTGTGCTCGGTATAGCTATCTCATAATTTGCGTACTATGAAGTCATTGCATCACTTTCATTTTGACACTCCCGCAGCCGTCCGTTAGCTTCACCGACAAAGGAATAAGCCACGCCCCCAAAACTTCGATTCATTTTCAAGTTATCCTCTTAAACCCTCTTTGGAAGCCTGTACCACAGAGTAAGGAGTAAGTAGTAGGGATACTACTCATGCGCCTGTACCTACTACCCAGCGTGTAACTTTATTGACTTGTTGTTCGTCGCGAGGCCGTGACCGTTAATCGTTTTATAATAGAGGACGCCATTACTAATACATTAAGCGTCATTAAGATTAAATTAATTGTATTCTGATTTTAAAAAGGATAATGAGTAACTTTATTAATATTACATTAAATTGATGTTGTAGTCTAAGAATAGACACAGGCTTAGCTGTAGCTAAACGACTGAAACGATCTTTCGACTCGACGTAGATTCGTTGGCAGATCTTAAATCAAAGAAGTTAAGTAATCAGATTCTCGTCGCTTGCAACCGTCGATGTACAAGTACATGTTTGTCATTGTACGCATGAAGTAAAAGCACTTATATATTATTCGTTATTACATAGATTTAAACCAAATTACATAGACCGTTACCGTTACAGCTTGACGAAAAAAAGTTCACTGAACACAGGCCTCTACATAAATGTTGGATCAGGTGGGCGTGTCGGCAGTCGCAGTTTTATTTAATTTTTCAGTTGCAGGACGCTGCTACCAAGTACCTGGTGTGGTTACCTCTGACGTCTCTTACGACACCGATGGGACGATATGGGAAAGGGTGTATTCCTTCACCACCACGCGGTCGTTGTATACATAATTAATGCAAAACATTCACCATTAAGACATGGCACTGTACAGAGATAAGAACGAAGAGAGAAACATTAATCAGAATAAACTAACAAAAAATGCATATATGTAAAGTAGGTTTTAATTTTTATTATGAAACGCTGGATGTGTTTCCTAATTGGTTCCGTCCGACACATACATTCACAAAAGAAAGTGAAATCTGGAAGCGAGAAATTCCATCATAGTAGTCAAGGATAACAATTTATCTTTACTTAAATTGTTCTCGTAAGATGGATTGAGAAGAAATACAATAAACTATACATCAGTATAGATAGAGACATTAGAATAGAGACATTCAGTCGCCATTGTGAATTTTTTAACAAAAATGTTTTCTTAACTAAGCACGTACTGGTATAAACCGCAGCCACAGAATAAATAATAGTACTACGTACCGTAGCAACTATTATTTAGAAATAAAGTTAGAGGATTTTTTTATTAAAATATAAAGAAATCTTATATAGGTGAATCTTAAAATAAAAAATTATTTAAAAAAATTAACATTTTTTTAAATAATTTTTTATCTTAGCGGAAAACTGGATGTTTACCAGCTAGACCGATTGCTGAGTACGTACCTATCAATTGATCTTAGTCAGTCGTAGTTGTTCAACCCGTAAGAACGTGGTGGAAGGTTGTTTAATAATATAGCAAATAATATTTAAATTACGGTTACAGGTGTTAAATCTGTTTAATTGATAGGTCCTCTCAATCGGACTGTACGGTTAGATGTCTATAGTAACAAATGAAATTAAAAAAAGTATAATTTTTTTAATATACCATGTTTCTTTCTATATGTTTTTACATATTCATCCGATTTTGAACGACTTGTATATTCAAAATTTTAAGTCATACTAAGAGATTCGTTTCAAAAACCATGAATTGTTTACTTGCTGTATCGCATTTTTTAAATAATTTGTTACTTTGGCCATTAGGTATACAATCTGTTGTTACTCTGGTCATAAGTAATATAAATATGATGTAAACAAAGCTGTGACCTCTCAATATAGAGAGAAAGAATATAATATAATAATAGAGAAACATTTTGTTTGTTACTGTTATTAAAAACTGTTTTGACAAATTTTATAAAATGGTGATAATATTTATTTGCAGATATGATGGGCAGGCCACGGTAGTACCGAAGATGATTTTGTTACCATGGTCTTTGGTGATTCTGGTGACGATGGCGGTGGAAGCGTCATCGAAACCAGAAGCCGGTGTGCAAACTGTAATCGACAGCCCTTCGAATATGCAACTTGTAATAGCATCTGAACAACCTACACCCTTTATTAAAATTAAAGAGGTAACAGAACTAACTCAGCCGACGGAGACGAAATTTGAAACGTCGTCAATATCGCAAAATGAGACGTCATCTACGGAACAGGCATTATATCTTGCAATAGAATCCACGGTAGCTAACGAGAACAAAGAGCAAGAAAGTTCAGCTGTCGAGAATAGAAGTCAAGATGAGTTAAATGACAGGCTAAACTGTCCAGCTCAATGCGAGTGTATCAAACAAACTGATAGAACCAGCTACAATTGCTCGTTGCCCAGCGGCGTCGTCACGATTACCGAGTACGGTGATGGAATATTTTTTCAGTGCTTGGTGAGTATTTTTTTCATTTCATATTTTGGTAATAAAGTCTTACAGTCCTCCAAATCGAATTTCGGTCACAGCGGCTATCCTCAATGTAGACTAACCAACGGCGCAGGACAGGATTATAGTGCCCAAGTGTATGCGCAAACACAGGTACACTCTCTATTCCCTCATAGTCCAATGGGACGGTAAACCGACACGATCGGAGAGAGATCAGGCGCAGGGCACCGCCAACTTCCTGACTCTGGGCAGCTACTGCGAATTTCTTGACGGAAAAACTTAATAAATTGTTTTTTTGGCCCAACCAGGGAATCGAACCCAGGACCTCACGATCAACAGTCGCACTACTACAACCACTAGACCATCGAGGCAGTCCAAGCCTTAAGTACTGAATAAGTAAAAGTACCATAGAATACTATAATACACAATAGAATGGCTTTTAACCTTATTTTGTACGAGGATAGGCGTCGCCGGGAGCATACATACAAGCAATTACGTCGTATTATCAGTTAATCATTACTACAAACCCGATTCGCTGTGTTGACAGACGGATTTTAATACATATTTATTTGTAAATAGCGTGCAATTTTGAATTTTACAAATAATTTGCTTGCGAAATTTGGAAACGATTGTAACGTCAAAACACATCTCGTGTTGACATTTATACGTGTGAATTGACGTATTAGTGACATTTTAGTGGCTATACGGGCTCCGCCCACTCCCCGTTCTATTATGTATGTATTATAGTATTTTATGAAAAATACTTAATGATTTATAGACTAAAATGTTGATTTTTTTAAACGATTTTATATAATTATATTGTTAATTATCATAGTATCATCTTTCTTTACAAATCGTAATAATCTACATCCACATACATCTATCCTCGATTAAGAATTAAAATGCAGATAATATGTTGTTAGTCCTGAGGACTAAGTTGGAATGCCAGTGAAAAAGGTCTTCGGTTGTCTATACTTGCCATGCAAAACACACCAGTATTACAGTGCTGTTTCACGCTGGTATTTTGTGAGAGCGTGCTCCTACGCCGTTTGAGCCGACTCATTTGTGCCGCAACTATGTGCAGCGTGGGTTTTCCACGAGGCAATATATACTCGTGGACAAATTTAGAGGAATGCTAAAAATAAGCACTCACTCTCACGCCTGTCACCCAGAGGGGTAGGCAGAGACTATAGACTTTCATTTGGCACGATCCTGACACACCTCTCGCCTCTTCCACATCCATATACCTACGCATACATGTTCGTCAGTTAAGGGTACTCTACAAACAAAATACCATGGATATTTGTGACAATTATATTTATTAATTTGGATTTTGCTAGTTTGCTTATTATTCGTTAATTTAATTACTATTATTCGTCAAAAAATTAAACGATCAAATGACAAAAATTAAAAAAATAAGAAAAAAAAAAACGACGAGTTGCACTCCGGGAGTGCCAGCGGAAGTGAAAACTTGAATATTAACGTTGTGCATTTTTGATATTTTGGAATGGTTAGGGAATAATTTTGCACGAATTGCTTTAATTATCAGTATAAAAGTACTATCATTTATGTGGTAGAATATAATATTTACTTATTGCGCTATAGTACACAAACATGACAATTTATTTTACATTAAAAAGTTTATCTCTCAGTAAATCAACTTCCATGTGGCCACTACACAGACGGTCGAGCCATCAGCTGTCACCATCCATGGATGCACGTAGCACGCTGTAACATAAACACACACGAACATTTGCGCAAGCGCCCTGCGCCGCTTAAACGAAACAGCAGGCGCAGGCATACATTTTCGCCGCGCCGTAGAAAGAGGGGGGGGGATACTTCCTCTCATACGCCGCGCCGGCTCTCTACTCTCCATCCGTCTTACGAATTTTCGATCAGGTCACATGTCCTGACGCGAGTTTAACATTTTTTACCTATTACAAAAAAAGTGTACAACGCCGCTAAAGAAGTTTTCGTTTTACAATTTTTCGATCAGGTCACATGTCCTGACGCGAGTTTAAAATTTTTTGTAGGTTTACGCAGTTTCAATGAAAGCAAAAGCTCTAGCAACTTGAGTGGCGTTTAGATATGGCATCTTCATTTATATGAAAAATTCACATTTAACGCGATAAAAAGGTAGTCAAGGGAAAAATTTAAACAAAACCTAAATTCAACCTGAAATTCAAAAGTTTGTAAATTTTTTCGCAGTATGAAAGAACGCTAGCATAGATTATTAATTATAATTAATAAATTAAATATAGGTATTTGGAAAATTACGCAATAATTACATAAGAACAAATTTAACAGTGGTAGAGCCACGCGGCAGCTTTACTGTTGCACGTATGGGCTGATTCAAACCAGGGTGGTACCATGACCTCACAGAATACCGACGTGAAGTGGAAGCTCAGCTTCCGCTTTTCGTCTGTTGAGTGCAGGTGGCCAGAGACCAAATTCCCCTCCCCATCAACATGGTAGCGGAATTAAACGTAAGACTACCCCAGGAGGGTACCAGCACCCCTGGAGAATCCCTCGCTGAGCATCCACGACCAAACTGCTCCACTCCTGAGCGTGGGTGCTCAGGTTGCCCCGCGTATTCTGGGGGAAGGGGGGGGGGGGAAATTCCGCTCAAGACAATACCTGCTCAGGTCAAGCTGAGCAACAAGACCAAGGTGACCCCTGCCACGCTATTATATATAATTTCATCAATATCAGGGGACTTCACTCGAACCTAAACGCTGTCCACTAATATCTCGAGACGGCGAAGCCGGCTCTGCTCTTTCTGACCGAGACGCAGGTGTCCTCTCCAGCTGATGCTTCGTATCTCTCCTACCCTAACTAGAACACTGCTTTGTACCTCGGGCTGGAGTTTGCGTGTACGTCAGAGAGGGCATCTGTTCTCGACGCCTCTGCAGTCTTGACGGTTTGGAACTGTCCATCCTTTGGTTAGGCGTAGACAGCGACGACCATCTGCACGTCTACGGGTGCCTCTATAGGTCCCATAGCGGTAATGCCGAAACAGACTGACTCTTCGACCACGTCCAAATGGCTACAGATTCATTGCTATAGCACATCACCTCCGCAGAGATGCGTGCTATCGCCAACGCTGTTTCTTCTGCATATCAGCTTGTTGCCTCAGCCAGTATCAGAATCCCCGGCGTCGACATATTGAATGACGTGCAGTTTCGTGGTCACTTGGAAGACAAGGCCAAATTGGCACCTAAAAACCTTGGCGTGCTCAGCAGAGCGGGACAGTATTTTATACCGGCACTCCGCCTGCAACTTTACAAGGCGCAGGTTCGGCCCCACATGGAATTCTGTTCCCATCTCTGGACTGGGGCTCCTCAGTGCCGGCTCCACTTGACAGCATCCAGCGTAGAGCAGCTCGAATCGTCGATGACCGAGTGCTTTCCAATCGGCTAGATTCACTGGCGCTGCGAAGAGATGTTGCATGTCTTTGCAGTTTCTTTCGCATCTTCCACGGGGAGTGCTCTAAGAAATTGTTCGGATTAATCCCAGCCCCCAAATTTCATGAACGCACCACGCGGCAAACCACACGATACCATCCACATCATCTGGATGCTTGGCGGTCCACCACTGTACGTTTCATTAGGTTTTCTTCCGCGTACAACCTCTCTGTGGAATAGTTTACCACCGGTGATTTTTCCGGACCGATACGACCTGGGGACCTTCAATAAAAGAGTTTACTGATTTCTAAAAGGGCAGTAACGCACCTGCAATTCCCCTGGCGTTGCAGTTGTTCATGGGCGGCGGTACTTAGCATCAGGTGAACTTTATGCTCGTTTGACCCCTCTCTTATAAAAACAAAATATATTTCGAAAAAAAAAAATACAAAACTTTTTTAAATACCATTTTCTAATGTTTGTGGCCACGCACAATAATTACAACAGGAGACATTAAAACTTTGTCTTTGCGTGCACTTAAATTTGCCCATGAGTGTAGTACGAGTATATGTCAATTTTTATAGAGCACCTTTGTTTGTTATTGAGCAGGCTATAGATATATGGAAGTTAATACGTTCCAGAATGGAGTGCTGCGGTGCTCGGAGATCCCAGAGCGCGGACGCAGGGTGGGTGCGGGCGCTTTGGGTGTGGGCGCCCTGCTGCGCAGCGTGATGTTGCGCGGCTGCGCCCTGGCGGACGAGCCGCTGGCGTGCATGCTGCGGAGGCGCGGGGCGGCAGGCGCGGCGCGCCTTACGCTACAGGCGCCGCGCGTGCGCCTGGCTGCAGCGCACGTGCGCGGCCTGCGCGAGCTCTCCATGTTGCGTCTCACCGACCTCGGTGGGTACCTCGCACTGTAGTGGGCGTTCCTCTCGCTGCAAGCGCCGCGCGCGCGCTTGGCCGCAGCGCAAGTGCGCGGCCTGCGCGAGCTCTTCATGTTGCGTCTCACCGACCTCGGTGGGTACCTCGCATTGTAGTGGTCGCGCCTCTCGCTGCAGGCGCCGCGCGCGCGCCTGACTGCAGCGCACGTGCGCGGCCTGCGCGAGCTCTCCATGTTGTGTCTCACCGACCTCGGTGGGTACCTCGCACTGTAGTGGGCGCGCCTCTCGCTGCAGGCGCCGCGCGCGCGCCTGGCCGCAGCGCACGTGCGCGGCCTGCGCGAGCTCTCCATGTTGTGTCTCACCGACCTCGGTGGGTACCTCGCACTGTAGTGGGCGCGCCTCTCGCTGCAAGCGTCGCGCGCGCGCCTGACTGCAGCTCTCCATGTTGTGTCTCACCGACCTCGGTGGGTACCTCGCACTGTAGTGGGCGCGCCTCTCGCTGCAAGCGCCGCGCGCGTGCCTGACCGCAGCGCACGTGCGCGGCCTGCGCGAGCTCTCCATGTTGTGTCTCACCGACCTCGGTGGGTACCTCGCACTGTAGTGGGCGCGCCTCTCGCTGCAAGCGCCGCGCGCGCGCCTGACCGCAGCGCACGTGCGCGGCCTGCGCGAGCTCTCCATGTTGCGTCTCACCGACCTCGGTGGGTACCTCGCACTGTAGTGGGCGCGCCTCTCGCTGCAAGCGCCGCGCGCGCGCCTGACCGCAGCGCACGTGCGCGGCCTGCGCGAGCTCTCCATGTTGTGTCTCACCGACCTCGGTGGGTACCTCGCAGTGTAGTGGGCACGCCTCACGCTCTCCATGCTGCGCTTACTTTGACAAAGGGGAATGCCTACTTATGGCTACATCCTTCGACCCACCGTTGGCGTACAATACGCTGGCATCTCGCGCGCCACCACGACCTCGGTTGTTAATTAAATGATATTAAAGTGAACTGCATAATGTAACATACAGACTGCCTCTTTGGTCTAGTAGTCGTAATCGTGACTATGATCAGTCGTTTACTAGGTCCCGGCTTCGAATCCCGGATCGGGTCAAAAACGGTTATTGATTTTTTCAGACTAGAAATTCTCAAAGTCAATAGAAACTCGGAGTCAGAAAGTTAGCGCATGCGTGCCTCGAAAAACATGTCGAGCTGTTGGTCCTGCGCCTGATCTCTTTCCGGTCGCCTCGGATTACCGTCCCATTGAAATATGAAAGTGAAGAAATAGAGAATCTGCGGTTGTGCATGCACTCGAGTACTATTAATCCTGTCCTGCATTGAGACCAGCCACCATGACAGAAATTCGATCTGAAGGACATTATATTATTACACACTGGTCACAAGGAGTATTAAAACAGCAAACTGTGTATAAATTAAGTCTGTTTTGTTATTAATGACGTTCCAACACTGTAGCGTTCTGTTTCACTTTTAGAAAAATAAACCCTTGTTTGAGAATGATTCTTTTATTCAGTTAGATGATGACGATGATGTAAAACCTAGTAATTACCTTGTACTTGTACTCACTTATGTTTTAACATTTTCTCATCTTCATCAACTCAGATATTGTTAGGACATAAACATCTCCCACTCGCCATATAAAAGCCCACTGCTGAACTTAGGCCGTCCCCATACATTGCCTCATGTGGGAAATTTTGCTACAGTTGCCACTCTTGGCAGACGGGTTGGCAACCGTAGTTTTTTATATTTAACTGTTATCAGGAAGATGCCGTTGCCCATCTGCTGGTTTACTTTCTTACTGTTGGCTCTCACGATACCCACGGGACGATATGGGACAGTGGGCTTACTTAAAACGCCACTACACGGTTATAAACTATAAAATATTTGGTTATAAAATTCGAATAAATGAAATATAAAATTTAATTACGCTGGTACAACTTGCAGATGAACAAGAAATGGAGCTACCACTACAAGCCATGTCGGTGCTGCCGGAGCTCAAACACTTTACGCTGAACAACGGGCGGCTATCGCTGAAGGAAGCTTTGCCACCCCTGCCACTGGAAGCGCTGGAACTGGCAGATGACGAACTGCAGTCACTGCCAACCGCCGCTTTTCAGCATCTATCAAGCTTGCGCCGCCTTGGCCTCTGGCGTAATCGGTTCACCGAGCTACCTGACGATACTTTACAAGGTATGGTACTTTTTGCTTTGAAATTAAAACAATTTGCAGGTGTTGCTACTTTATAGTACTGTTACGATCGCCAGCTACGTGTTGCATACAGTTAATAAAACGTAAGAATTTTTATTCTTACGTTTTATTAACGACGTTCATTCTAATTGATTCAAGCAAATCGCACCCTTATGTCTACGAGTAAAAACTTTTTTGTCCTATGGCCATGTTAATGCCATAGGACAAAAAAGTTTATATGTATATAATAATGTAATCGCGAATGTTCTAGTACTTTAACATTCGGAGAGCAGAATGACTGTGTGATCCGGATTGAAAAAGTATGAATTGAGAATCAATTTTTTTGGCAAAGCAACCTCATCAAAGAAGCTTGTCTATTTTGGACGACTTAATTATTTTTATTTTCTGAGTATGTGGAAAAATAAATCCATTTCTCATATAAATTGGCATCCACCCACTCGTAACAGTACGATAATATTGATTTTATAGGCGCATGAGTTTTGAGCTAATAATATATTAAGTTTCTTTTTTTAAATGTAAGGGTTATCACATCAATAAATATATAATTCTACAGTACGTCTGTTCATCAATAAACTCTACGTATACGGCTGGAGCGATTTTAACGAATTTTCTCTTCTTTAAAATCGCTTTGTTGAGTTGTAGTAGTTGCCAGAGATGTACAGAAATAACTCATGCTAAGTTAAATGTAATCTCACTAACTGATGATAAGAACATGAAAGAGGGAGGTAGTAGAAAGTCTCTTTATTTATTTATTTATTAAACTTAGGACCACAAACAAGTTCACAATTATCAACTCATCTAATGTAATTACTACACATTTTTTTATTATTGTGAACTCAACAACAACAAAAGCAGTTTTTTTTTAAATGGTCGTGTCGTATATTCCATTATCTACTCAATGAGTACTTGTTTCTGCAAAAGTTTATGCCCGTAATACGTGGTAGAGGTTTGTGAACTGATAAAAACTAAATTCATTGTCTGCCTAGCAATCCGTCTGGGAAGTAGCCACGTGCTTACCTGTGTTAGCTGTGCTCTGGTTCGAGTGTGCGGGAGCGCGTGTCTTTGACTATCAGAGTTTCTAATTTTGTATATACTTGTCTCAAGAGAGACAACGAATCTGTAACCTTTTCTAGTTGAAGTTGGTTGCAGGTGTCTGTGTGCTGCAGGAGCCACTTACCATCAGGTGGACTGTGCGTTTGTTTGTCGCTTCGATTAATTAAAAATAAAAACTGCACTACTTTACTAAAGAAAAAAATAGAGAATCCGAGTATATTTAGTCGTGTTGATTATATTAAAGTTTCACTGAGTTTCTTGCTGGTTTTCCCGAGAATAGAGACTTTTTTTCGAACGAGTGCTAAAAGTAAAAATGACTTCCAATAACAGTTACATGCAATCCGTACAAAATAAAAAATATTCAACTCTATTCTAATCTATTTATTCATAGGATTGGAGCAGCTGCAGCAGTTGAGTCTGAGCTCCAACGAGCTGCGTTCGTTGCCCGCTGGTCTGCTGGCGCACACGCCGCACTTGAAACAGCTCGACCTGTATGACAACGCGCTGGAGACTCTACCACGTACCGTGCTCGCTGGACTCAAACATCTAGAGCAGGTAAGTCACTAGATCCAGTTGCGGATTACCGGCGTTAAGTGTAGCGGTGGCGAGTGGCGAGTGGTGGTGTCTTACGAGGTGACAGAGGGGAGTTGAGACAGGTGAAGGGCAGCATCTCATCTCCTTCATGATAACAACTAAAAAAAATTAAAAAACTTCGGTTGCCAACTAGGCAACATTCCTATGAGGTAATGTATGGGTACAGTCAGGTGGCTAGCTCCATGTTTAAATATATGGGTACAGTCAGATGGCTAGCTCCATGTTTAAATATATGGGTACAGTCAGGTGGCTAGCTCCATGTTTAAATATATGGGTACAGTCAGATGGCTAGCTCCATGTTTAAATATATGGGTACAGTCAGGTGGCTAGCTCCATGTTTAAATAGGTGGGTACAGTCAGGTGGCTAGCTACATGTTTAAATATATGGGTACAGTCAGGTGGCTAGCTCCATGTTTAAATATATGGGTACAGTCAGGTGGCTAGCTCCATGTTTAAATAGGTGGGTACAGTCAGGTGGCAAGCTCCATGTTTAAATATATGGGTACAGTCAGGTGGCTAGCTCCATGTTTAAATATATGTGTACAGTCAGGTGGCTAGCTCCATGTTTAAATATATGGGTACAGTCAGGTGGCTAGCTCCATGTTTAAACATATGGGTACAGTCAGGTGGCTAGCTCCATGTTTAAATAGGTGGGTACAGTCAGGTGGCTAGCTACATGTTTAAATATGTGGGTACAGTCAGGTGGCTAGCTCCATGTTTAAATATGTGGGTACAGTCAGGTGGCTAGCTCCATGTTTAAATATATGGGTACAGTCAGGTGGCTAGCTCCATGTTTAAATATATGGGTACAGTCAGGTGGCTAGCTCCATGTTTAAATATGTGGGTACAGTCAGGTGGCTAGCTCCATGTTTAAATATGTGGGTACAGTCAGGTGGCTAGCTCCATGTTTAAATATATGGGTACAGTCAGGTGGCTAGCTCCATGTTTAAATATATGGGTACAGTCAGGTGGCTAGCTCCATGTTTAAATATATGGGTACAGTCAGGTGGCTAGCTCCATGTTTAAATATATGGGTACAGTCAGGTGGTTAGCTCCATGTTTAAATATATGGGTACAGTCAGGTGGCTAGCTCCATATTTAAATATATGGGTACAGTCAGGTGGCTAGCTCCATGTTTAAATATATGGGTACAGTCAGGTGGCTAGCTCCATGTTTAAATACATGGGTACAGTCAGATGGCTAGCTCCATGTTTAAATATATGGGTACAGTCAGGTGGCTAGCTCCATGTTTAAATATATGGGTACAGTCAGGTGGCTAGCTCCATATTTAAATATATGGGTACAGTCAGGTGGCTAGCTCCATATTTAAATATATGGGTACAGTCAGGTGGCTAGCTCCATATTTAAATATATGGGTACAGTCAGGTGGCTAGCTCCATATTTAAATATATGGGTACAGTCAGGTGGCTAGCTCCATATTTAAATATATGGGTACAGTCAGGTGGCTAGCTCCATATTTAAATATATGGGTACAGTCAGGTGGCTAGCTCCATATTTAAATATATGGGTACAGTCAGGTGGCTAGCTCCATATGGTTGCGCGGAAAACCATTCGCGTTTTTTTATTTTTGACGGTAGGAACTTGTCGAATCATTATTCCCTTCCGAAACAATATCATTCGTACCCTCCTATCGACACATCGGGGTGGTGGGGTGGGAGGGGAAAGAAGACGATTCTAGAACATCGCGTAATCATCGGACCCGAGGATATATAAGACACGCGCGACCGACGCGCGCTCTCTTCTCCCGCCGCAGTCGTCGTTGAACCAACGCTTCTCTCCTGACGCACCACTGGGGCCCCAGAAGTGTCTGTCCAGAGGAGGTTCCGGAAGTCGCCGCTATAGTGATCGACAGGAAGAAGAAACCTCGGTGAGTCAATACTCCTTAATTATACCTGCTTGCTAATAATTTAACCCGCTCCAATCTGTGTTTTTTTTTCCTAGTCAAGCAGGATTCCTTTCATCGATTCGACAAGTAATAGTTTAGTTTAGGGAAGAGCGAGTGCATTGTACCGCATGCTATAGTAGTCGCTTTTAACGTAAGCGTAGAAGCAATCGCATATACAGTCCACTTTAGTTAATATCTCGCGTAATAGGTTTGAGGTTTGACCGGGGAACTAGATTTTCGGCAGCCTTAAACACGTGGCTCCACCATTTTATGGTCACTTCGGCAGGATCTGGATTGGTGTTTAGTGGTTATCCAACCATTTTCTGGTCGAATTATTAAATTAATTGTTTAGATAACGCACTCTAATTTATGGAATAGACTTAAATAGTGTTCGTTTAAATTAAAATTTTGATTTGTTACTCGCAAACAGAATTATTCATTTAATAGCGCTCGTATTTGGTTAAATTTAAAGCTTATTAAATAATTGAAACGGCGTGATAGCAACCGTTTGATACGCTTACCCCACAATTTTATAAAATTATTAGGTTTAGCAAACGACGCGTAGCCTTGACTGCATCGGGCGCTCGATCTGATTACGTAATACAGCACGCCGAGTATTCATCCTACGTCGTTTATGCGTGTGAGATTAATTGTGATTAATATAACTTTATTATAATAATTTAAAATGGCAGTTAGTGGAAGTGAAATCAAAATTAAAACGCTTTATGCCAAGAGGGACATACTCTTTTCGCGTGTGCAAAATATAAGTGATTATATAAAGAACATTCATATAGAGGCAGTACGGGAGGCCTTTTTAAATGAAATCGAAACGATAGATAATTTGCGGACAGATTACGAAAGAATATTAGATCAAATTAATCATTCGGAACTACAAACCGACCCGAAATACATAGTGAACTACCAACCGCTGCTGGCATTCGAAGATATGTTGTGTCGCGTAAAAAGAACTGCAAAACTCCTACAATCTCAAAGCGAAGCAAAGCCGGAAATACAGGTACGCCCTCGTGACTCAATTAGGTTACCGCCAATAGATATTCCGGTATTCAATGGTGATATTAAGACGTGGCCCTTCTTCTTCAGTAGTTTTCAAAACAATATACACAACAACCCATCGTTATCGGACGCTGAAAAATTATATTACTTAATTAGCAAACTTAGTGGCAGAGCACAGTCGATCTGCTCGGGTTTTACACCTACAGCAAACAATTACGTATTAATATTTGAAACGCTTAAAACTAAATATGAAGATAGGAGAATGTTAGCTTCCGAATATTTGAACCAGATATTCGATCTTAAACCTATATCATCCGCGAACATCAACGGCTTAGAGCAGTTTCTCGATAAATTTGTGGCATCGGTGGCTGCACTTAAGAATTTGAAGTTTGATGACCTTATGGACGTGGTGTTTCTCCATATAGCATTAAAGAAATTAGACTCCGACACCGTGCGTGCGTTTGAAATGGAGCATCGTAGCTCGGAGATGCCTTCCTTTCATTCATTAGCATCGTTCGTGCGAGATCAAATAAAGGTGATGCAGCGCTCACCGAACGTTAAACAGGAGATTAAAAGGTGCGTCGACCGTAGACAGACTCAACCATCTAAAATAGCAGGGTCGTTAACTTACGTAACCGCTACGCCGACATCACTCCAGCATACTTGTATAGTATGTAAAGATAAACACGGTAACTTATATAACTGTGCGACTTTTCGTAAATATTCACCAAGCGAACGTTATAAGTTAGTAAAGACAAACAACCTATGTTTGAACTGCTTAAGCGATAAGCATTTAGTTGCAAAATGCAATTCGAGTTCCGTATGTAGCAAGTGCGCCAGGAAACATCACACGCTATTACATTTTGAAAATAGCAACATAGCGGCGTCAAGTAAGGCGAATAAGGAATTCACCCCTACTAAGGTCAACGATTCTAGCGGTCGACCTGGTGATGTCGCTCTGTGCTCATTGGCAAATATGGGAGCACAACCTCCTTCAACCGTGTTACTGGGTACGGCGCGTATTTTGGTTAGGGATTCGCGTGGAAACAAACAAAGCGTCCGTGCACTGCTGGACAGCGGAGCCCAAAATAGCTTTATAACACGACAATGTTGTCAGCGCTTAGGCTTAGTAATAAATAGGTCACTTTCATGTCCTGTAGTTAAAGGCATCGGAGGTACTAGTAAAGCGACACAGGGATATATAAATTTAAAATTTTATTCTCGGATAGATCGTAACGTTAACTTTGATATAAATGCACTAGTAGTAGATAGGGTCACTGAACGGTTGCCAACCGTTTCGGTTGACACCTCGGCAATGATTGAATTTAAAAATTTGACTCTAGCAGACGACACTTACGCCGTTCCTGGAAACATAGACATGCTCATTGGGGCATCGCTTTTCCCTCATCTTTTGTTAAACAATAAGGTCAGGGGCAACTCCTCGCATACCGCGCCTTACGCACTGGAAACCGTATTGGGCTATGTGATCCTTGGCTCCGCCCCCATCCTAGATAGTATTTCGGCAGCCTCTTATTGTGGTATGGCTGTCGAACCGCTCGAGTCGTTAGTCCGCAAATTTTGGGAGATGGAGGAGGTGAACGTCCCACCCATAGCTAGTTCAGCTGACAGGATATGCGAGGAAATTTACGTCCGCACGACCGTTCGTGATCGCGACGGTAGATATAGTGTAGCGCTACCCTTTAAGGGAGATGTTTTATCTCTCGGCGATTCGCGTCAAATGGCGGAAAAACGTTTCTACAGCTTGGAGCGTAGGATGCTCGCTTCGCCCCAGTTAAAGGAAGCTTACGACGGCGTCATTAACGAATATATAAGAGAAGGTTACATATCACTTGTGGCTTCGAAATTAGATAACTACGAAGACACACCGTCGTATTTTATACCACACCACGGAGTCATTAGAGAGGACAAACTTACATCTAAATTACGTGTAGTGCTCGACGCTAATGCTAAAACTAGCACTCACCTGTCGCTTAACGATATCCTCTATAGTGGGCAAAATTTACAGGGCAGTTTATTTGAT